TGATAATTTAAGAGGTTTTAACTTTAAATATCACTATTAATATGAACCGAACAAATTTCGACATTATACCTGTTTCATTTTGAAAAGATTCTTCATTGTGAACTGTTAACAGTATGAGAATTATTGAAGATCAAATAGTATTCAGATAGTAGTTTCGTTCAACTGTTTTCAGTTTGTAACAGAAGGACTTTCAAAATAAAACGTATAAATAGTTGTTATGTGATCACAAGTGACTATTTTTCATAAACCCCTTCCAGCCAAACAAGTTGGTGAAGCCTAGTAGGCCCTTTTGGAGAGAAACAGGCCACATCAAAGCACGCCACAACTACCGGGGCTAGAATAGTTGTTTCTACAATCCTTTGGAGTTTGCCCAATGACGAGCAACTCCATATGATACATGCACCACTTTCGAGAAAATTTTTTGTCTTTTTTCCATTCCAAATGTAGTTGTGCTATGTTTATCTGTGGAGTTCGTAATCCGTTGGTGGGTATAGGTAAGAGTGGGTGATTAGCCCGATCTCTACCACCCGGGTTACCGCTCACGTTAGTTCATGAGTCATTCGTCTCATTATCCAGGAGGTACGACGCGGACGTGTGAGTCGGATTTTGCCTCCCAACTCGAACTCAGTACCGTTCGATTCAAATGTCATCGCGTTATCCACTTAGCTACTGAATCCTATAGATTTTCTGACACTCTAGTGAGAACTCATGATCCATTGAGTCAATTAAATCATGAATGATAAAGTTGTCTACCAATAACATCAGATGAGTATCTTGATTCTCCAGATTTCATCCTGTTTAATACTCATAAATACTAAAGAGGAGTACTTAATTAGAATAAAACAATTGTTTGATGATCCATTGTTTCAAGTTGTTCTAGAGGTGATTTTAGTTAGTTGTGAAGATGTGTCAGTATTGTGTAATGTTTCCAGAAAATCGCTTAATATAAGTTCTGGATAACATTCAAAGCCTATGATATTATTTGCAACACCTTCTGTTTATCGAGTAAGAATTCATTGTAGAGATTTTCGATCTAAAAAGTCAACTTATAAGTTTGACATATGACTATTAAAGAAAATCATTACAGTAAATGTATGCTATTAATTCCACAGTTTAAGTCTAGTTTAATATATTGGGAAATTTACCATCAACTTTGTATCCTTATTCAATTTATAGGTGGTTAGTTTGGACTAATCTATTGACAAATCTATAGTGTAGAGCTTCAGTTGCTTAAGACCTAGTAGTGATTAGTCAGACAAGTAAAGAGTCAATAATAATTGTTCAGTACTAAGAGATATTACTTATTTTTCCAGATTGATGTTCAGATTTAAAACTACGACAAACGATTCATATCTCTGTGAATCTCAAAATATCCTCTTTGGTTCCTTCATCAATTATTACTTCTTTATATTATCTAAATAATTTAATGATTCCACGCTGATAACTCTTCATTCAATACTCTTCATCAAGTAAAAGGCAATAGATTTATGCAAATAAACAGAAGCAAGACTTGAACTGATGTTTGATATCGATCAGTAGTGATTGACAATATGAAGTTTTGGACTTTTATTTGCGTTGAAAACTAGTCAACCAAATAAATTACTTCCCAGTTGTTTGCGTCAGACCATTTCTTGACTAATGGTTGGTATGATGTTAAGATGTTCAATATATAATGCCTGAAAGGAGTTGAATGTTCTGATTACTCTTCTAGACCGAGAGCGACTCTCAATAGCTTTTTTTCCACGTAGCACACTACTAATTGTTCTGTACAGACTGTTGTTTGATTATGTATCAACACTAATGTAGGTTCAACAGTTTCATAAGAAGCAAACTGAGTACTAACAGTAGACAACAGTAAATTGGACGAGAGACTAGTTCATATATCCAAAGTATCCACCGTAATAAACAAGAATATCAAGTGGCAGAAAAATGAATAAATAATAAATAAATAATTCATCAGATGACAACGAGATTAACTCAAATCATAACACCATATGGTGTGGAATAATTTTATAAACTTGAATTAAAAGTAAACACAAACATTTTGAGTTATGGAGAAAAACATCACCTGAAAATATCTTTTGTACGTCCACTGTCATCTTACACTACGAATGTCCTAACAACAACATCATTCAAAGCACGGCAAAATTATAATTGGGTATGTACACGTTACATTCATTTTTAATGGGTCCTTGTTTAGTTACATTTTCACGCTAATGTCGTCCTACATTGAATCGGGAAGAAACTTCCAAAATAGGACGTGGTGCGAAAATGAGCTGAATTAGAACCAATATTATTGATTACTCATAGACAGCTCAGATTTTTTTAATGGGGTGGTAATGAACTAGTTGACTTTTGACCCAGCCTTAACTCGATTGTCCTGACTATCCCAATGTTCATTGTCAATAACTCAGAATAACCATAGGGCAATCTAAGACATTTAAAAACAATGGATAGGATAAGCGATACTAATAATTCAATGTAGTGATTTTAGAAAATAAACCAATCAGATTGACCCACTCAGAATAATATTGGGAGATAGATGAACAAGGGATACCGTCTACAAATTAAATACTCAATCTGACAGGAATAGACATGTTCACTTTGTATGTCTATTTCAATTTGTTTTTTATCCAATCGAAATTTGGCTTCATTTCATCTAAGGTATAAATCGTAACCTACTTCTATCCTGAGGCCTATAAAATCCCTGTCTTAATTTCCAACGGAGTTTTAATAAGTTAGTCAGTGTGTTCATTTATAAACAGCCCAGTGTGTCAGTACATCAATTCTGCTATTGACCAGACTTTGTTAACCCTTGAGCGAGTGAATTAAGCTTGACAGTAGCCATTCAATCGTTTTACTTACTGAATTTTAACTCGAAAACAAAGTGGTCATGCGTTTTCCCTGAATACCCCCTTCATCACATGCCCAGCATCATATAAGTTTCTAAAACGTTCATAGAATAAATATTTATCTGAACCTTTCTGCCACCTTCACTGATACATCTTTATTGGTTAATTTCCTCAGTTGGATTATTAGCTTTGTATTTTCGAATTTCAGTCCGACTCACAAATGCATAAACAATCAAAATTGTTTATGGATTTCCCAATCAATAATTCCTCCATCTTTCTCGAGGATACTTCTAATAATGCTTTATATGTACTTAAACAATACTATCATTTCATCTTTGACTTGGGAGAGTAGTTCCTTTGTTACGAAAACATAATAAGTAATAGATACACTCATATAATCTGTTGGAAACGTTTACATCGTTTTTTTCTACTTAACTAAGAAGATAATAAAGATCACTGGCAATGAAAAAAGTGGACGATACTAGTGTCATACAATCAACTACTTTCAATAAATCTGATTTCCCAGGTGAGTATAAATGATATTGATTTAGATATTGTTTTAGTGCTATACTATAGTAGTAGTTATAGTAATTTTCCTAGATTAATTTTTTCAGCACACCTTGGTATTTCGATTATATAGGGTAACTAGGCTGGTATCCAGTGTACTGCCTCTAACAATTCCATACGACATTCTTGTTTTTTCCATGGTTATTTAATGAAATATCATTCAGTCACCTATCTTTAACCTGATAATGCTGATTTTAAGGGTGGACTTTATGCACACCCATCAATCAGTCATTTCCTTATAAGTAAAAATCTAAAATCAGGAAAATGTAAACAGATTAAAATAGTAAAGCTTTCTACTTTATCATCGGGGTGGTTCAAGAAATGATTTTTTTCCAGTTCTGATAACATATTGAGATAAAAATTTGTAGTTTTCTCCCGTTTATTGTATATCACTAAATGAGAGTTTAACCCAACAGATAGTGCATTTATTATGGATAATTACAGAAACAGCGTTCAAATCAAGCATCACTGTAGGATTTTTATGGTATTGTATTAGCCTGGATCCGAGAGAATTCCTTATGTTATCATACAAATCCCAACTATGTAAGAATTCGGAAGGCAACAAGAAGCGGCGACTGCAGTTTATTATTGAATAGCACAGATAACAAAGTTATGAGCACATCGATCGAATCGGATTAGAGAGGCTGTGTACGAGTGAGCGAATACAGAGGCTGATTTATGAGCAAATCGAATCCAGGTGGAGCAAGGCAAAGCGAAAGCAACTAATAAGATTCAAATATATATATGGGAAGGAGAACGATTCGACGAACGATATTTAAGCGATTAACATTTCAGATAGAATGAGGAATATGTGCGTAGGCTGTCACATGTGACCAAGCATACACGTTCATACAGACAAGATGGTGATCATAATACAAAGAAATAGACGTTTTGTTACTGTTCGAATAACACTGTCAAACAACTTAATAAAAGGGCTCGAAAAAAGTAACTGCAAACAAAATTGATTTTAGAAGAGTTGCTATGGTTTAACGATCGTAAATTCAAGCTTTACCAACATAAATATGATTGGACTGGTTGAAGTTATGCATTAACACCGTTGGACAGCAGCTCAGTGGTTTATAGGTTAAGCGTTCGCGCACCGGACTGTAGGTGCTCATTGCTGACGCGTCCCATGCTAGGACGAAATGTCCGTCCAGTGACTCCAGGTTTCCAATGGTGGTCTAACATTGATCCATTCATGATATCAATCTAAAATATTACTCTTTAGTAAGTTATTACAGGTTTATGCTCTCTATCGTAAGATTGAATAACACCACTGATCCAAACAAATATCGTTGTGTAGAACAGACTTTCATTCTGTCATCGATTAGTTTAGTCAAATGGTAATCACAACTTCGCATAAATTTTATCATTTATTTGCTATACCATACTCGTGTTGTTAGCAAACATAGCATTATGGTCACTCTTACATAAATTATAGTGTTTATCTACGGCTACGTAAGAACTCGGAAGGATAGGGACAAACGTCGTTGCCTTTTTGTCGTTTCTGCCTACGCTCCCACTGACTGCAGCTCAGATGATGTGAAAGATGAATTTTACAGAAAGCTGTCCGAACTTCTTCAGAAAGCTAAACGCTCAGACATAGTACTAGTAGCAGGTGATTTTAATGCTCAGATAGGCAGTTTAAACAAAACAGAAAGGCATTTAGGTGGATATTTTAGTATTCCGACACAGCGAACAGATAATGGTGATCGTCTGCTGCAGCTATGCTCAGACAATCGCTTATTTTTAGCAACCACAAATTTTAAGCATAAAGAGAGACATCGTCTAACATGGCGACCCCCTACACCAAACCAACGATGGACTCAAATAGACCATATTGCCATCAGTCATCGTTGGAGAGGGTCGGTAGAAGATTGTCGCTCATTCTGGAGTACCTGCTTGGACTCCGACCACGCCGTAATACGGGCACGCATCTGCTTGCGCCTCACTGGACGCAAAAAGCCACATTAAAAAGACCCGTTAGAACTGAGTTGAGTAACGAGAAAACCAAAAGTAGGTTCCAGGAACAGCTGAGGTCACACTTAGGTAGTTGTGAAGACGAGGCTGACCCAGATGTTGCTTGGAAGGGCATACAATCAGCTGTGGAAACAGCAGTGACATCTATTAGTGACTTAAACCACAGAGTTGCAAGGAACCAGTGGATTTCTTCAAGGTCTGTCACACTGATGGATTCTCGCAAACTCGTCCCATCAGGTTCTGAACATGATGAAGAGCGAAAACAAATCAGATCTAGGTTAAGAAAAAGTCTAAAGAACGACCGTGAGCAGTGGTGGGTAACGAAAGCAAAAGAGATGGAAAAGGCGGCGACTATAGGGAACACAAGACAGCTCTACAGACTAATAAAAGAAACTGGAATTAATAAGTCAAGTGTAAGTGAGATTATTTCGGAAAAAGATGATACTCTCATCTGCTCCCAGTCCCGACGTTTAGAACGATGGGCGGAACATTTTAGAGAACAGTTCAGCTGGCCTTCAGCTACTCTACAACTACCCTCCATTCCCAGACAATGTGAATGGAACATTGAAGTAGGTCCCCCGACTCTTGCTGAAGTTCAAAAGGCTATAGTTAATCTGAAACGAGGAAGGGCAGCTGGTCCAGATGGATTGGCTCCAGAGGTCTTTAAGGATGGTGGTCCAATTTTAGCGATTAAGTTGACTAATATTTTAGCTAAGATCTGGGAATTAGACTTTATCCCATCTGACCGGTGGCAATCACTTATCGTCCCAATATATAAGAAAGGGTCAAAATCATCCTGTGACAACCACAGAGGGATTAGTTTAACTAATATAATATCTAAAATACTAGCCTCGATAATTATCAGACGCCTAACTAAGACTCGTGAACTGCAAACACGAGAGAACCAAGCTGGCTTTAGACCTGGTCGTGGCTGCATCGACCACATGTTCACCATTCGTCAGGTTCTAGAACACAGGCATACCTATCGGCGTCCGACGATGGTGGTCTTTCTTGACTTAAAAGCAGCATTTGACTCGGTAGACCGCGAGATTCTGTGGCAGTGTCTGTCATTGAAAGGCGTACCCCAGAAGTACATAAACCTTGTGAAGGCTCTTTACTCGAACACTACTAGTCGAGTCAGAGCTTATGGCGAACTGTCATCTACTTTTGCAACCTCAAGTGGTGTCCGTCAAGGCTGTCCACTTTCTCCATTTTTGTTTAACTTCATCATAGACCTATTGATGGAAATAACACTCTCGTCGACTGAATTCTCGGGTATTGATCTCCTTCCAGGAGGTCCACTTATCGACTTAGAATACGCAGATGACATAGTCCTGTTTGGTGAAGACGCTGACAAAATGCAGAGTCTTCTGGTAGCACTAAGCAACAATGCCAGGATGTTTGGAATGCGCTTCTCTCCCTCTAAATGCAAGTTGTTGCTTCAGGACTGGTCTCCGTCAACACCTGAACTAAGGATAGGGAGTGAAGTAGTTGAACGCGTTGACAACTTCACTTATCTTGGAAGTCTGATCAGCCCTAATGGGTTGGTGTCTGACGAAATCTCAGCACGGATTCGAAAAGCTCGTTTGGCTTTTGCCAACTTACGTCACCTTTGGCGAAGGCGAGATATCCGTCTATCAATAAAAGGACGAGTATACTGCGCGGCAGTCCGTTCTGTTTTAATTTACGGCAGCGAAACATGGCCATTAAGAGTAGAAGACACCCGTAAGCTACTAGTATTTGACCACAGATGCCTTAGAAATATTGCTGGCGTCTGCTGGGATCACCGGGTAAGTAATAGTGAGGTTAGACGCAGGGTATTAGGGAATGATGGTAAATCAGTTGATGAGGTTGTTAATCTTCATCGACTGAGATGGTTGGGCCACGTGTTACGTATGCCTGAACACCGATTACCACGACGTGCAATGCTAACCGGGGTAGGGGATGGTTGGAAGAAAGTTAGGGGCGGCCAAACCAAAACGTGGCATCAGTGCCTGAAGTCACTAACTTCTAGTCTGAGCCATGTTGGTAGATGCAGACTACTTGGTTGTGGTCCGCGTGACTATCGTAATCAATGGTTGGAGACTCTTGGTGACATGGCTCAGAATCGATCACAATGGCGTCGGTGTATACACTTACTGTCTTCCCTTAAACTAAGAGACTAAAATCACTTCATATCTTTCTTTCTACGAACTAATTCTTCCTTCCTATACTATATCCTTATTGCAACTTTTGACCTCACCACTCCTATGAATCCGCTGTTCATCTTGCTGTGCTAATGAGGTATGGCAACCTGGACCGATGCACATATGTGCCTGGTCCTACGTTGTAGCTGACTGACTGACTAGTGGGGATGTTTTTTAGATCGTAAAGTACTCGTTCTCAACATAACAACCTATGATACGCATGTTTTCTTATGTGGTGGTGCATGCAACTACATCGTGTCCAGTTGTGATAGAAATGGTCACACAATATCGTGGGTGGATTGAATTTAGACATTAACACCGTTGGATACTGACTCAGTAGTCTAGAGGTTAAGCGTTCGTTCATATGACCGAAGGTGTTGGGTTCAATTCCCACTTGCGGGATCGTGAATGGTCACTGCTAAGGTGTCTGGTATTAGGACGAGACGGTCGTTTAAGTCTTCCAGGTTTTCATTAATGGCTTAACATGGATAAGTTCAAGATTTTAATAAATCTCAACAATTTTTACAATTCTATACTGATAGCTTAAATCATTTGAAAACTTTTTTTATTATCAGAAGGGGTTTTTGTGGGGATTTTTAATAATTTCAATAATTGAAATCATGAGTCAATTGAAGCTAGACCACCATGGAAAACCGTTGGGTGTTGGCTCAGTAATCTAATGGTTAGGCGCTCGCCCGCGAGATCGATAGGTCCTGGGTTCGAATCTCGCGGGGGGCGGGATCGGGGATGCGTACTGCTGAGGAGTCCCATACTAGGACAAAACAGCCGTCCAGTGCTTCCAGGTTTTCCATGGTGATCTAGCTTCAATTGACTCATGATTTCAACTATTGAAACTTCTTATATTAGTTAAAATCCTGTTGTCTACCAATTAACTGATTAAATCATGTGAATTATTAGCTGTTTTTTGTTAAAAAAAAGTGAATTTTAAAGTTCATTATTACAATGAATTGTTACTATAATTTTGAATAAAATAGGTCATTCTTATATGTAAAGTAGTAATGGGTAATACAAGTATTTTGGAATTTGATGTGAAAAACCTTGTAAATTTTTCATTGACTGACAACCAAAACATAATTTCAAAAGTTAAATATTCTTAATAGGAGACTGAAAATGTAAATCAGAACATGCTATCGATCAATCAATAATTGATCAATCCTTTCATCTAAATATCCATACTATCATACATGACTTTTCATGTTGCTATATATACTCTCTAATAAAGGGGAATTGGGTAGGGTCGTGTATATTTCTTATAGAATAGACAGTGTAGATTTCATTTACACTACTAAAAATGCTTATTGATATCAACCATTATTAGGGAAATACTATTTGGTTAACTAATACCCTCGTATCTTTAGTATACAGTGACTTGACATTTATTCATATCCACTCCTCAATACGCGTTATGTTTGTAACGTTGACAATGCTGAAGTCTATAGAATAGTTGACGTCCATCTAACTAATGCTTATCATATTTAAACAATATCGCTGTTACAATGACATGCTGGAAGTTTCACTTTTGAGTTATGTTAGAGCCAAATCTTCTTAAGTATTATTACCAAGTTTAGACTTCATAATTACAAATAAATTGGACATTGGATAGAATGTTAATAACAAAATAATGATAAATTTATTATATCCTAATGATTAAAAGTTAGAATATCCAACGTTTCGTGACTGAGCGTAAGTTACTTCTTCAGAGTAAATCAATAACCAAACTAAATTAACATAAGTTTAAATAGTATAGCGGAATAGGTAGTATATTTAGTTCACTCAGAGTCAAAATAAAAATAGACCTGGTTATTTCAATGTCATGTCATTTTTGGCAAGTTAATATTACTTGGGTCTCAGCTACTCACCTTTATAATTGGAAAAACCTTCCCAAGTTATTTCGATATTTTTAATGTCGATTTGGTTGTTAAAAATGATATGTACTGCTATTGGTGACTTGATTAGTAGGTTTTCCAGTCCTAAATTTTGTAATAATCAACCGTGGTCGCCTTATAGCACACCTCATCGTAGGTTAGAATTAAGACAAGGTATGAAAGTTCTTTACTCAATTTAGAGTTATTAATATGTAAGCTGTGTTAATAAGCTCTATATTTTTGAGTTTATTCTTATTAGTTGTCCGATGTATCAATTATTGATTTCTTTTTTATTCTCAAGCTGAAAATGATGTTAATTGTAATCCTAATCCATCCTCGTGTTTAAAGAGAACCGCTTGTCAAGCTGGGTCTTCTGAAGATAACGATGATCCAGAATATGCTCGGAAAGTAATAGTTCTGGAACCTGAGGTATGTTTACTTCTAGGTACTACAGTTTCTAAATTGAATATTTAAACTTCTTTCTAGTGGTTATTTATGACTCCCATACTAAAAATGTAGTCCATATTCTGATCATAGATTCAAGTTAGTACGTGTGATTAAGAACTGATATTGGTCAATATCAAGAAATGGTTGATTTACAGTGTTGAATTAACTTTTCTGTAATTTATTCATTTTTCATTTATCTCACTGATACTATTTTTGATTGCAGCACTGAACAATTAGGAGTTAAAATCTTACTTCAAGTTCACCATACTAAAATCGATTGTTTGATAGCTAGTACGAAAATATGTAGCTTCTTACCAATTTTAGATCTCTCACTAATCAGAATCATTCTAAGATAATTAAGTTTCTGTTGTTTGTTGAACCTGTTTAATTTTTTGTTTCATTGTTTATAGGTGTCTAGTGTTCAACAGAATAGTGAAATAAAATTGCCTGAAACAATTCAGAACACTATATCTGGACCGACTGTCACATCCACCTCTTCAATCTTGAATACAACAACTAAAGCTGTAGTATCTAACACAATCAGTTCAACTAATAATATCAAACCAATTGGAACAAACTTACAAAATAATTATGGATCTTCTCCTAGTGTTTCTGTGCATCAACCAAGGCAGCAACAACAAATGTCAGAAAAGACATCAGTGACTACTACACCTAGAACTAGTACACGTAGACTTCATGTTTCGAATATTCCTTTTCGGTTTCGAGAAGCTGATTTACGGTCTTTATTAGGTGTAAGTCTAATGAGATTGACATGTTATTTTGTCTCAGTATAGAATCTTGTGGAAAGTTGCGAGATAGTGATTTATGTCTAATAATGTATGGTATTAAGACGATAAAAACTCATTTAAAAAGTGGAGTTTAATCATAATTGAACTTCGATCATTTGAGGTTATAAGTTTTGATACCAACTTAGTAATTTAGATTCAGATCAGGGAACTCAACAATAATCAAAAAATAGTTATGGAATAAAATGTAATTGAAAGAAGCAGAAAGATATGTTGGCTAATTGATAATAGGATAAATTGAAGTTGACTGATGAAATATTCGGGACAAAATAAAGTTTTGTCGCATCTGTATCACTGAGTTCGATTCTGATCTATATCACTGTTAAGTTTTCAGTTATCCTCGTGACTTACTCTATTTTGACTACACACCAACATAATTACGAAAATACAATATCGGCACAACTACTTCATAAGTTTGAGAGTACTGATTAATAGGTCCATAATAAATTAACCGTAACTTAAGCGGGTACAAATCATAACAACATCACAAAAGTTGTACTGGCAGGTGGTATGTTTAAAGAGATTACGAGTTCATCTAAGTCTGCGAAAGGAATGAAGACTCAGCGACACAACGACCAAATAAGCTAACTATTCTGATGCGTCCCAGGCCCGCTAACTAGAGAGAGAAGTTCAGGTTCAGAAGAAGGAGAATGTATCCCTCAAGCAGTCAGAAGCACGAACAACAACAAGCACAACTCAAGAGTATATATACAGCATAACAATGTTTTTAAGAAACGTTACAAAATAGTATATTAAAAGAAACAACGAACCAATGACATTTGAGGTCCTCCCAAGTGGGAAATATTATATAAAGGTGAAAATGGACACTTTTGGCGCGAAAACAAGAAATCCAAATTTCCAAAATAAGACATTTACTAAATGAGTTCTGCGGATCTCCAGAGGTACTGTAATTCAAGCACTTGATAATTATTAGACAAAAGTATAAATAATAACTTCAGTAATGTGGGATGTTTCCAAAGGTTCAGCTGAAGCTACCTTAGATAGTCATGGGGTCAATTTGCTGAAACCCAACTTTATAGTAACCAAGATAGAAATTTTGAGACAAGAAGTGCAATGTTAAAAGATTTAAATGTTTTTTGTTCGCTTCTTTTAATTCAATCTTGAGATACACACTTCAAAGTGTATGAAGTGTATGAAATGAGTTAGTTGTTTTTCTGAAGATCATATTCCGTTATTTGTTAACTCACATTCTATTTAGGACAGTTTAGTATATAATTAATGTTAAGTCAAGTAATTACAGTGTTTATTATCATTCGTGTCTAGTACACGAATGAAATATTCACCGAAACCAATTCTACATTGTCATAAGACATCATGTTAATAAACTTTTTTTCTTATTACAAAGCCTTTCGGTCCGATATTGGATGTTGAAATAATTTTCAATGAAAGAGGTTCTAAAGTAAGTGTAGCATTTGCATCCATTTGTATCTATTATCTATCGATACTTATGAATATCAACCATCGCAATTATTCTCATTAGTTTACCGGTTGATCAGCAAACTTTCGATTATAAGATACGTACTGCTGAGGGAGAAATGATCAAGCAAAGTAGAGTTGTCTTACGTTCTTTTGTATTTTCAGTGATTATTTTTTTATATAGTTTGTAATGAATCTGTCATAGGCTAACCTGAGATCAGTTTTTCTTTTATCCGTTGAGGTGGAAGTTTACGTAGACATTTGTAAAGTAGTTTGGTTTCTAACGTCTTCGTGATCAGCTAATTCATTTATTATATACATATATTCTCTTGCAAAACGTAGCAGTATTCTAAAATTTGATAACTGATTAACATTCTCACGGATAGATTGAATATAGGAAATTCACCCACGTTAATGAATG